TCTCAAGAGTCTTAGCTGTAAATGTGTTAATCTCTCAACCATTTAAATTGTTTTTACAAATTGGTTGCTATTTCATTTCAATTCGCATCATGGAATCAAAGGTTATAAGAGACTTATTGGCATATGAAAATGAATAATCCATTAAAACGATGGTAGTTTGAAAGGATATAGTTGAATAATATTCCAACAATGCTAAAAAATTAATATATTGAGGCTCATCCTAATTGACAAGGAGGTAATACGTCTACTACGATGACTATTTATTCTATAATTACATTATCAATAAAATGTCCTTAATCTTAATATTCAATTATTAATTTAATTTATTTCTTTTTTCATCGTCTTCAAACTTGAGGTAAAACAATTCATGAATTTATTTATTTATTTATTTTGGTATAAATGCATGCTGACACCAAATCTCAATTAAATGCCCAAAGTCATATGCCTTGAGGCACATGTCTCAGTAATTTATGGCTTTAACCTAGGCATTTGAGTCCTGCAAATGATGAAGGATACCTATTCAAATTCATACGAAAATAGCTCATGTTCATCTTTATTTTGTAATGACAATCAACAAGGTCCAAGGACAAACAATACTTCATGTAGGAAACATATCTTCCACAACATGCATTCTTGCACAGACAATTATACATTATAGTTTCAAGAGGAATTTCTACGACAACTACAAATTTTTTAGTTAAGTCAGATACTCCTAATAAAAAAATAATATTAGTAAAGTACACAAAGAGATTCTCATTAAATAAAAAGTTCATTTTACTTAAATAATTTTTAACTATTTTTTTATATTTACACATCTTCAACTATTATTTTTATAGCATTTATAAAATATTTCTAAATAACTTGTAATGCACATTCACTTGTGACTAGTAACGAAAAAAAAAATCATTTTTGAGATATTTGTAGTTGCATCATCAAACTATACCACTTGGACCACTTGAGTCATCTTTTAGTTTGATTTTTCCATTTAGATTCCAAACTCATAAATTTTGGTGCAATGGAAGTTGCAAAAAATTCTATTGAAGTGTCACATGCCCTGCACGACCATTTTTATTCTAGTTATTTTCATCATTCAACTATATTTCTAAAAATAATTAAAAAGAAAAAAAATATTTCAAATCATCTAATTTCCTTCATTTATTACTGGGCATATCTCATTTTAGGATTTCTGGATTTATCTTCTTTGTCCGGAAGGAAAGACATAAGGATTGTCCCCGTTATTGTAAAAAAGTCTAGCCTTTTCCTTTTCTATTGGGAAAGTAAGCAACTTCTGTTAGCGTAGGACCTTAAGCTCTCCTGCCATCAATTATCTATGGCACGAACTGTCCGAATCATCCTAATAGATCTGACACGTGTCGTGCGCCGATGCGCCGATGTTAGATACCAACTAAACACCGGACCTACCACCAAGTCATTTAGCTAAAGTGACTTAGTGGTAGGTCCGACGTTTAGCTGGTATCTAATATCGGCGCATGACATGTATCGGATCTACTAGGATGATTCGGATGGATCGTGTCAAATGGTATCAGAGCATGGTTTATAAAGTTTTCATAGTTCATACATTGGCATATCATGCATATTCAGTGTGCATGGTCACTTGTCGTGGTGGCAGAAATCACAGGCTCTCGAGCTCTCGCTACTAGAATAGAATGTTTGGAACGTAAAATGGTAGAATAATACTTTTAAAAGATTTATAAATGAATACTAGGTAAGTATGTCATTGGCAGCGATCCGATGGTTGAAATTGTTATTAGTTCTTGGGTTGGAATTGTGGTGTATGTAGCCTATTAAGAGTTGAATAGATTGTTAGTTTAAAAGTGAAAGTTTCGACGGTTTTCCAGGTTAATTACTTATAGGCATTCAAAGTGATAGATGGTATAGTCACTTAAGTATCAATTTATATGTTGAATTACATGAATTTTTAGTGTATACATAGAAAAATCTCTAGTTATAGTTGGCATGATAAATAAAAAGGAATGATATTATCTGTGTAATTGGTGACAGTCAACGAGGAATTTTAATTAACTTGGGAAGCCAAATGGCCATTATTGTTATTAAAGTTTTGTGGTAATTTGTGGCCACTCATAAGAGATGATGATAGAAATCAAGATCGTGTGTACTTATGCTATATGATGTGAAATTACGAAAGACAAAGTGATGATTTATTGATGGATAGATAATAATGTGTTATTGTATACGTTAGGTTTCGATAGAATTAACGTTTTAAGTGATTCCAATTTTTTTTTTATACCAAGGAATATAAGAAAAATAGGGTTAGACTTCATGATTATTACTTAACATGGGGTAATTTGTTGCTTAAGAAATAGAATTAAATGGATATGTGCATTCAGGTATGTTTATGTGAGTCGAAAAAAAAAAAGAGAAAAGGACACACGAATAGCTTTGATTTTATTTCTGGAGTATAGAAAGAGTAAGTGATATAGAATAAAAAACAATGAGGTATAAAAAAAAAAAAAAGAATGAATGAGTATGACTCATTGAGTTTTGTGGAAAAATGTGCAACAAAATAAGTGGTTAGCTTTTGTAATATATGTGTACAAGGTAGATGGGAGTTAGGCCACTTGAATTGAAGAATAAGAAAGCAAACAATACAAAGATATATATTAATATTTATTAAGGTTGTGAATTGGATGCACAGTCTCATCGATAATTGTTCATTTGATAAGGGTATAATGATATTCATTCAATTAAGGTCAACAAAATAGATATGTTGAACTATTTTGTGCAACTTACAGGACATGATATGATTAAAAGTTTAAGGCCATATGCAAGATGATGTTCATGTAACAAGGTTATATGATTGTGAGAAGGTCTTGAAGATAGTGATAAAAGAAAGATATGATTGGTATTATGCCAAAAGAATGTAATGATATATTTAGATTACAATGGGTTTATGTTATTCCATTTGGATTACTATCTTGTCACATATAATTTAGATTTTCTGGATAGAGTAGTTTCATTTGTATTATAACAAGTGGATAAGAAAATTATTGTCGGCATGTCAGTGCATGTTAGAGCCAAGAAGGATCAAAGAATGTTCTGTTGGATATGATTTCATTTTAGCTATGTTATTTCGATGTAAGCTTCTTGTCTATACATGAAGTCAACAGGAATATGTCTTCATATTATGATACCAGGAAGATGGAATTTTAGTTATGGTGAATAATAGAGTTGGTCAAGGTGATGCCATTAAAAAGGAAGTCAAAATAAAGACTGGGTATTGTATTTTATTTCCTTATTTAAGAAATTGGTGTGTAATTGAGTATTTCAGGGAGTGAATAGAAAGAAAAGAAAAAGTGAGACGGAGCAAGCTTTAATAGAAAAGGAAATATTTACTCTTATATCTAAAGTTGATGAGGGTTTGATTTATGATAATTGATTATGTTAAGGTTTCAAAAGTGTTCTGAAGTAAGATGAGGAATTATGAATTATACGATAGATTGTTGAAGAGACATGATTAAAACATGATTTAGAGTTGGTTATATTGGGGTTGAATTTAGGATTTTTTATGTTATCACATTGTGAGAATCATCGATAATTATCTATTATTGGAATTTAAGGAATATTTTTATTTGAAATGATGGAAATTGAAGTTGTGTATATATTATCATTGAGTGACATAGAATTAAAGGAAAAGAATATCATATTGAACAATCTCAATTGTTGTTGGGGGATAATTGGAATTTTAGAGAATCATGAATGATTGAATTTTTGTAGATATTATCAGTTAAGAATGGAAGTAGTTACCCTCAAATTTTTTTTATTTTTTATTTTTTATTTTTTTATTTTTTTTTGGGTTTCAAGTAGATAGAATGGAGACAAAATGGTATTTGGATCATTGTTAATAGATTGATAAAGGTTACAATATTCTTTTCAAATGATATAATCGGTTCATGAGGTAGATTTATGAAATTATGTATAGATAAGATTGTTAGTATATGGTGGAGTTTGAGTATCTATCTTTGGCTTAGTTGTAGGGAGTTATGTAACTAAATTGCATCGTGTAGCTTCTTATAATGTCAAACACTGCGAAGGCAAGTTTAGAAGATAAGTTATCATTTATGGTTATTAATTAAAGGGGACTTGGATAATTACTATTTTCATGGAATTGACATATAAGAACTAGACACGATTGACGATAATTGAGGTTATATATGATATTGAAATACCTTAAAGACGTGTTTATTGTGATGAAAATTGGCAAATGAACGTTAATCGGGTTTAACATAGGATGAAGTTTTGAAGAATAGGAAAAGTAGTATCTTGAACTTTAGATTGGCCAATGATCAAATTTTCCAAGAATTGGTGATACGAAAAGTTGAGAATATCATTTATTAGTCTTTGAGATGTTATTTAGAACTTGGTTACAACTGTTTAATGATGGGTTTTACAATGGGGTCATTTGGTATTTAAGAATGTGTGGTCTATCTCAAAGGTTTAGCTAGTAAATGTCAGATTTACCTGGTTCGTTAAGATTGCTTGTGAAGTTAAAGGGAGCTCAACATAGAAAAAGCCATATAAGATGCAAGATATGAAAGAATGAAATTGTGTTTGGTTAAAGGTTGTTGGAGAATTCATTCATTACGTGTGCTTCATAGCTTCATGTACATTGAATTCTATTTGATTGAATTTCGAGGACAAAATTCTTTTAAGGAGGTAAGATTGTTACAATCCAAATTTTACTAGTCAAATATCAAAAGCAAAATTGTCAAAGTTAAAGTCAAAAAGGGATTAAAATGAAATAAATTATTTTAATTGGGATTTAATTTATTATGACAAAAATTTTGAAGGTTTCAGTTAGACAAAATAAAAATGTTGGGATCTATTTATATATTTTAGGAAGTTGAGGATTTAATTTACATTCTACTAAAGAAGAGGGGGACTTTCCTTGCAATATGGAGTAGGTGGACCTTTATATTACAACCTTTGACCCATTTTACAATTGAAAACACACACAAACACATACTTGAGCCGGCGAAGAGGGAGAGAAACCAAGAAGAATCAAGAAAGAGATAGAGAAAAGGAAAAAGAGAAGAAGAAATGAAGAAAGAAAAGGAAGAAGAAGAAGAAGAAGGAAGAGGAAGAAAAAATTATGGCAATACCAACATGGTCCTTAAAGTTCTTCCTTAATTTCTTCAGGTAGGTAAAAGATGTATTTATGGGAAATAATTCTTGAATTTATGGTTTGTAAACAATTACTAATGTTTAAAGTTGGACAAGAATCTAAGATTATGAATATGTATCTGAGGTTATAACTAAATTATGGCAAAGGAATTATGTAATTGTCAATTAGTGTTGAAGAAAGTGGAATTTGAGATGGGTTTGTGAAAGAAATATATTTTCTTTGAAATTCTTGAGACTATGATGTTAAACACTTAAATTAAGGATTTGATGTTGAAATTCTCCATTTTTCCTAAAGAAATTTTCGGGTTATGTAATGAAGGTGCTATTTTCGAAATCTTCATAGAAAAGTGTTATTTCTGTCCATATTTTGGTGACAGTTTTCAATATATAGAATTTGGTGTCATAATGCAATATTGTGGAACTTTAGTGCCGTTTTTGTCAAACATTTGATTTTCAGATTTTAAAGGTTTGAATGAAGTTATATGACAAATGTTGAAACCTATGTATTGGACTAAGTTATATATAGGGGTTGTGTATATACAAGCTAAGTTATACCGTTTTTGAATAACCCTAGAATTTTTACTTAGATTTTAGAGTAAAGATAGTTTGGAAAAATGATAGTTATCACGAAATATTCACTTGGAAGAATGGTTTTATGGAACAAAATGTAAATTTAATTGGTTCAATTATGGTTATTAGTTTTGCTAGATTGGAAGATGGGATAATTATTTTCATGATTAGAATAAAGGTTATTGTGATGAATTAGCTATTAGAAAATGGACTAGAAAGTTGAATTAGCTTGAAGTGGGGAAAATTATTCAAGTATCGAGAAATCAAGTTTTAGATTCGATCATCAATATTTAAAACTACTTAGCAGGATAGTGGTTAAATTAGTTATTTTATATTGTCTTTCAGGTGGTGACAAAGAGATGGGAAAAAACTTGTTGACCATCATAACCAGTAGCTTGTTTAGAGTGAGTGGATAAACTTATTTTTCAGAAATTAGTATTTATTATTATTTCATACAATTGATTTTGACAGCATGATTTTTAGAATAAAGTGAATTTATAATCAGATATTTTTAAAGTTAAATTCAGTTCAATTAAATCATTTGATTAGCATGTTATATGAATTTAAATGTTTTAGTATAGCTAAAGTTATTTCTAAAAACCACCAGAAAGTATCTAGGTGATTTTACCCTTGTCTGCACTAGTGTGAATGTGTTTCCACAGTGTATGACTAGTTATGGTGATTTTACCCGTTCTGCACTATTGTAAATGTGTTTCCATAGTATATGATCAGATTATCAGAGGTCCTTGGGACCCACTCTCGTACACACATAGGCTTTGGGCTGTGTACTAGGGTGATTAGCCTTTGGGGTAGCTCTGCGTATGTATGACCAGAATTTCAGAATTGAATAGCTTTGCCATGTATATCGGTAGTAATCGATACATGAGTAAGGTTGTTTCGGGGTATCTTTTTGGTGTGATTTTTCAGTATTTTACAGCTTATCAGATTTTAGACTACGGAATGTAGCTTATTCAGTTTTTAGAGTAATGATTTCAGCTTATAGTATTGTGACAGGATATTTTCACTTATATTTATTGATATTGGATTATTTATATTTATTATACCTTACAGTTGCTTATCTAGAATTAAGAAAAAAAAATTTTATGATGTAACCATGGTTAGTTTTAAAAGTGTTATTAAATTTCAGAATTTTCAAAGTTTTAATAGAGCGAGAATTTTTAGAAAATATGCATAAATGGATAAGATATACTCATTTGCAAATTATCCATTCACTGAGCTATAATCTCATATATTTTGTAATCCCATTTCCTTTCAGATAGTAGCTGAATTGAGCAGCGAAGAGTCTGTTGATCTGCCAAATTGAACCACGCATTATCATTAGTTGTATAACTTTTTTTTTATATAGTTCATTTATAGGAATATATGCATCTCTTGTCGAAAAGCATATTCATATTACGGTTTCGCTGCAATTTTGTAAATGCTGTACAATTTGGAGTCTTTTAGCTTGTTAAGAAGTATAGATTTCATTCATGTGTGCTTTATTTTCTAAGGTTTATATTTGAAGGGGCCGGTGAAGCCTATTTTAAATTACATGTTCGAAAAATTTTATTTTATTTCAGATGGTTTTAGTCCACATTTTAGAGAGAACTCTGTCAAAGTTATTATAAAAACATGTTACAAGTCAAACTAAGTCAAAGTTGCCTTGGTGGTGGATTTGACATTTAGCTAGTATCTAACATTGGCGCACGACACGTGTCGGATCTACTAGGATGATTCGGATGAGTCCTGTCGATCTAAATGGTCGTTTTGATAGAGTGTCCTCAATTCAATCTCTGAAAGAAAAACAGATTGATTTCTTTAACATCATGTTTACTACCAAATTTCTCACTATCACTCCCGCCACCTACAAATGTCACGTGTTAAGTCTAAAGAGACGTTGAGTGGAAGAAATCCTCCTTTGTAAGAGGCCATATACCTTTCAAGTGCATAGTTGACACAATATGAGAAGATTTTTATCTAATTGGACTAATACAAGAATTGAAAGTTTGGGGATTTAATTGTCAGAAAAAGGAATAGTTGTGCAGGGATCCAATATTGCTCCTTTAACCGTACTTTTATCTTGGAAGCTACTATGTGTGTGTGTTTGTACATTTATCCTTTTGTCCTTTTTTACAATCTTTAGAATCTTCTATTAAGACTAGTCTTCATCTCATGCATTGTACGAGTATTGTATTTATTATTTTATTATTAATGTAGAATGTGTAGAATTTATATTATTCAAAAATTGTCAATACTGGTGCATGATATTGAAACAGAACAATAATTTGATTTTAGCACCAGCACCACTATGAATGTTCCTGTTAATTAATAAATGTTTTCACGGTACATATATATGGTAACATTGTTCCTCAAGAACTTTCAAAGACTTACCACCTTACCAATAATATCAATGCTGTGGAATAATTTTCTACTCATCTTAAATGAAATGTGCAATAAAATTCTTCGACGAAAACTATTTGGAGAAGTTAATTCGTGGTAATGCAAGAACAATCACAGGTTTCCCCTTTTGCGCATAGTTTGGATCCTTAATTCTTTGCCCATGTTGCGCATGGTTGGGATCCTTAATTCTTATTCCTAAAGTTTCATATTATCTGAAATGAATTTGAGGAGATGGTAGACCCAACATCACTCATTTTTACAAGCACTTATAAGTTACATGGATAGTGATGTCAAAAAAAAAGTCGGACATGGTTATTTAAAAATACTAATAATTTTTTAATTTCTTTGTAAAAAGGTCAATATGAGAGAAAGACCCAATCAAATCAAAATTCAAAATATTCAATGAAGGTTATCTTGGCTAAGATCGGAAATTAACACTTGAAATTGGAAAAAAAAAATTGTGTTTTATCTAGTTTTTGAGAGTTATAATCTATGTTATGTTATATTTGTAAGATAGAAATTGCAATATATGTTATTTGAATTTTCTGGCATGGGTCGTATGGCTATGAATCATTTGAGATATTTACTTTGAGTAGTTTTTTTGGTATTTTACATTACGTTGTATGATATTTGATTTTAGTTTATATAACTATTTGTTAAAATTAGTAGCGGGGAGAGATGAAGGCTAATGGGGTCAGTGGGGAATTTGAGATATTCATATTTGTGAAAGAGACTCTAGGGTTGGTAATGGTTCGGTTATGGTTCGGTTTGGCTAAAACCATAACCGCACCACCAATTTTTTGACCATACCATAACCGCAACATAACCACGTAAATTGGTTCAGTTCGTATCTTGATTCGGCATGGTTCAATTCGATTAATAACCACGAAAATAAATTATTTTTTATAGGTTCATCCGTCAAATTGATATAAAACAATTTATGAAAAAAGTCAATGAAAACAAAAACGTAATATTCCAAACGAAAATGCAAGCATTATCCCAATTTTCAATTGTAAAATACAAATTTAATAAACAATATTATAAATATAACGATACTAAACTTTTCCTTCATTCTTAATTGTTATGCATCGAAATTACTTGATTCATTCTTCCCCACAAGTTTTACTAGCATAGATCAACACTCAAAGTTGATTCCTATGTAGTAAATTAGAAATATAAGTAGAGAATATAACAATACTACTTATTTTAGAATGGTCTTAACTAAGATTTAAATAAAAAAAATGTACCTCTTCGTCAGCTTCCTTCTCGCTAAACATTGCACAAGTTATAGAGTATGATGACGAAGTAGAATTTTCTACACATAATAGAAAAAATTAACAATAAAAAGAGCGGTGCGTGAGTTTGTGGTTTGTGGAGAGTAGTGTTTGCATTTATATACTGTCATACTAATGATTATGGGCTAATGGTAAGTGAGTTGACCGATTGAGTCAAGTAGATGTAATGGGGGGAATTTTGTTTTGGACTACATAGAAAAATAGTGTAAAGCCTAATAATCAATTCAATTTTTTTTACTTTTTTTAGCGGGTAATCGGTTTGGTTTCGGTTCAACGGCGTAAATACCATACCCGCACCGCCACAAATCGGTTCATTAAAATAAAAACCATATCCGCCCCATTGCACCATTGGTTCGATTTTTTTGGCCCCATTCGGTTCGGTTAACCGCCATTTTCGATTTTGACGGTTCAAATTGCCATCCCTAAGAGACTCCGTGCATGGTCACCTCCATGTAGTATTTCTCCATTTTCACGCATTACTTCACCTCATCCAATCCAACTGATAAAAAAAAGAAACTGAATGATTTAACAAATAAAACAAAAAAAAATTACATGCAAAAAAAAAAGTTATTATAAAGTTTTTAAATTAAATTGGAATAATTATAAGTAAAAATAAATATTATTTAATTAAAAATAAAGAGAATTACAAAACAAGAAAAAAACTTACTTTACTTTTAAGTCTTCAAATTTACAAAAATTGTGAAAGAATTGTTTTGAATACAAGTTTTATATGGGGTACTATGAGTTTTTCGTGTGTTTTCAATTATATGTGGTATTGGTATTTATAGACGCTAGTATATCACGTCTATTCTTTTCAATACTATATACCTTCCCTTAAAATTCAATAGTGTGGGTCATATTGAGATCCTGTCAAACTCAATATTGTATAAGAATCGGTGTTCTTTGTTTATAAGTCACTGAAAGCTTTGTAAATGTTTGAATTGCACCATAAGTCAATCAATATAGTGAAAAAGGTCTTACTCGCTTGTGCCAGAGAGCTTGATAATGGAGGATATAAATCATTGTCTTGGATCTAACCTCCACAATTATATCGTTTGCATCTTTTCTACCCTGTTATTTATTGACATCTTATTTAATTTTGTTATTTGATTGATCTACTTGCTTTTATTTGCTTAAGATTATTAATTGATCAACATATCCTTTGCTTGCTTGATTTAAGTTTACTTTTCAAAAAAAGTTTTAAAAACCAATTCGCACTATCTTGATTAATTATTCCTGGGCTATCATTATTACCATTGTATCTTCAATTCTTCCCAGTAAATATGTGGCTTTGGTTCTTAATATAATACGCACAAATCTATTGATTTCTCTACTTTCTTCTCTTTTTCTATCTATTTTAAAAAACATTTAAGCACAATTCTCTCAAAATAAAGTCAATTAGATGAAGGTAGTCAGTATCCAATCTTAAATCATAAGTGTTATTTTTTTCTTTTCTGGCCGCACTCCTAATGAAGAAAATATTGTCGCGTACATAGCATAATTATAGCCCGCATTCAGGAATAACCTCAAATTGTGATTTTGTGCCCAAAATCCAAGAGATATATTTATGTTCAATCTATAGATTATAATGTTCGGAAAGTCGTTGAATCTCGTCTCCATGTACCTAAAAAGGTTATTAAAGAGGATGATAAATCGGATCAAACAATTTCAAAATCTAGAGAGGAATATGATGAAGAGGATAAAAGAAAACTACATTGATTGCTAGAGCCAAAAACATACTTTATTTTGCCTTAGATAAGAAAGAATCCAATCGCCTTAGCACATGTGATTCCACTATTGATATATGGCACGCTTTAAAAATCACACACTTGGGCACTAGTAAAGTAAAAGAAATTGAAATAAATATTTTGGTAAAAGAATTTGAAATTTTCTATACAAAACAAAATGAAATTATTAATGATATGATTACTCGTTTTACCGATATTGTTAATGGCTTCAAAGACTTTGATCGAAAATTTATTAATAGTGAATTTGTGAGTAAAATGCTTAGGTCTCTCTTGGCTGATTGGAATTTGTTGAGAATGTTCATAGAAAACTCCAAAGATATCAATACATATCCATTATATGAGCTCTATGAAACATTGATGATATTGAGCTAAATTGTATCGAGACAAAGGAAAAAACAATGAAAAGCATAGATGAAGAAAAACACCAAATTTCTTTAAAGTTGGTAATGGATGAAGGCCCTTCAAGCAAAAATATAAATGATGGAGAATTCGCTGACCTAGCTCTTCATGTCAAAATTGGAGGAGTCTTTGTAATATTTGGCAATTTCAAAATAAAGAAGAAAAGGGTGAAGATAAAAGTAATAAGATTGTTTGCTATGATTGTGACAAACTAGGTTATATGAAAATTGAGTGTCCAAATAAAAAAAAAAAAATTAGAAAAAAGAAGGCACTCCAAGCGACATGGGATGAAAGTAATGATTAAGATCATGATGAAAATGAAATTCAAGAAGAAGTTGCCAACATGTACTTTATGAGTATTGAAATGAGGTAAATTCAAATGAAAATTGTTCATATGATGAATTATCTACCTCTTTTGATGAAATTCTTAAAGAATTTGAGAAACTTATTCTAAACCAGACTATTATCAAAAAGAAATATTTTTTTTATTAGAAAAGGAGGTAAAGAAACTTTTTAAAATTTAAAAAGATTTTGAAAAAGAAAAAGTTAATTGCGATTTTTTAATTAAAGAGAATTTCTCTTTACAAGAAAAGATTTTTGATTTGACTCAAATTGTTCGCAAATTCACTCAAGGTAAGAAAAAATTTGATTTAATGTTTGGTGAACAAAAATGTGTTTTTGATAAAGCAAGAATTGGATACAAATTATT